ACTCGATTATTATGTGAATTCCACCTAGAAAATTATGGAAATTAAGCTAAAAATTGAAAAACTAGGGCTTGGAAATTTGGACTTTTGATTGGGGATTTGGAGGACCATTTGGAGTCAGATTTGAGAACCTTTGATATGTATGAACTCGTGGGAAGATAAGGAATCAATTGGTGTAAAAATTTCTGAATTTCGAGACGTGGGCTCGGGGGTCGAGTTTTGGTAATTTCGGGATTTGTGCCTTTTATTAATTGTTTTTGTTTGGGCTTCGTTTCTTAGCATATTTTGACGTCCTCGTTCTGATTTTGGGTAGATTCGACACACGTGGAGGCCGATTCGAGGGCCAAAAGTGTCGAGCTAGAGATTTAGCCGGTTCGAGGTGAGTAATGATTGTAAATGATGTTCTGAGGGTTTGAAATCCCGGATTGTACATCGTAATGCTATATTGAGGTGAGGCACACGCTTGATGACGAGCGTAGGGTCGTGCACTATTGGGGATTGAGACTTGGTCCGTCCCGATTGATAATTTTACCGCGTATTTGATTGAAAACTAATTGCTATCATCATTATTTGGGCCGAATGCCATATTTGGGCCGAATGCCAACTATTTGAACCCTTCGGGGATTTTTATTACTATTTCCTCACTGTTTTGACTTATTACTTGAACTCAGTCATGTTATTTTCCATTGTTTTCATACTCAGCCATGTTTACTCAGTTTTAAGACTTAAATGATACTTTAAATGACGTTTGGGCTGAGAAACATTGTTTTACTATTGCCCGAGGGGCTTGTGATGATTTTTGACTGAGTAAGGCCGGGGGCCTACATTGTGAGGAAACACTGATACTGATTTAAGGCCGAGGTCCTGAGATATGTACGCCACGAGGTGGCTTGATTGATATGAGGCCGAGGGCTTAGTTTGATTCCACGAGATGGCTTGTTATTGCGCTTGGGCCGTAAGGGGCCCCTCCAGGAGTTTGCACACCCCTAGTGAGCGCGGATACCCTTTGTGATGTGAGATTAAGCCCGAGGGGCTGGTATTGTTCTGAGATGTTGCCCGAGGGGCGGATTTGTTGATACTGTGCCCGAGAGGCGAACTTCTATTTGTTTACCTTACATTAATTACCTGTCAATTACTTGTTTACTTGTTGAAAGAAGATTTTTCTTGATTTTTCATTGGTTTAATGTTTTTAAATGATTTTACTGCTTCATTATAGAATGCCTTGTGCCCTACATGTTTTCTTACTTTCAGTCGTTATTTACATTTTTTACTCACTGAGTTGGAGTACTTACTTTACTCCCTACACCCCGTGTGCAGATTCAGGCATAGCTGGTCCCGCTCCCGAAGGCTGATTCATTCCCGCTTCAGGCGGATCTTCGAGGAGTCTTTAGGTAGCTGTTGACGTTCGCAGCCTGGAGCTCCTCCCTATCTATTTCTTTTATGTTCTTAGTTCATGTTTAAAACTCTGTAGTTACATTTGAGGATTCAGTATTTGTTAGATGCTCGTGAATTGTGACACCCCGGTTAGGGCTGTGTCGGGTTGTACTTCCGCACTTTATTGACATTATTCGCTACTTAGTATTATTAAATCATGTTTTAGACTGCTTTTATGTTGTTTAACCGTTTTAAAAAGTGAATTGGGTTTAGTTGGCTGGCCTTGTCTTCATAAGTGTTGGTTTGGAATTGATGGTGTCACGACCCTAACCCGGACCCGGTCGTGATGGCGCCTCTCATTGAACAAAAGCAAAAATTTTGTATAACTTTTAGAAACAGAGAAAACATATGTATATTGTCTTGGTATGCGTGTTATAGAGGGTTTATTGAATAATAGACTTCCCCTTTATATAGTAGAAGAGTTTTACTCTAAGTACAATCCTAAGAACGGTAAAAATCTTCCTTTTTGCTAATCACTGATATGCTGCTGATATGGGCCGAGATCTACGCCGTGATATCCGGTTGGGCACGGATATGGCAACTTTTTGTTAATCATGTGAGCTCGTTTGGCAATGCTTTCCGAGGTCTCGGAGCTCGGACCGGGTTCGGGAGGCATGGTCTCGATGACTCCGAAAGCAGATGTTGTATTCGAGCCTTGATATGAGCGGTTCCTAGCTTCAATTCCGACTCTAAACAGTTATTTCCTTACTTTGTTTGCCCCACCGGGAAATCGGAGTGCTCATTACCCCGGTTTTACCAGTATACAGTGGGCTATCAATCTTGGTTCACTCGTGAAATCTTGGTTGTAAAATTTTGTTTCCATTATTTTGCTGGTTAAAGGGACTCTCCTGTCACATGATTCAGATAAACCTTTTTAATTAAGCACATTTAAATTGTTCTCTCTATACCTTCCACACAAGCACATTTAAATTTCTCTCTCTCTTGTGGGATAGGAATGATTATTTTCTCTTTTTTCCTTTTAAATTTTGAGAGGTCTTGTGAATAGATTGAAAGGGAAGGAAAAAGAGGGATGACTTTTAATGAGATCTAAACTAAGCATCTAAATAGAGTAAGATGAAGGTACAACAGGAAATAAAAATAAATTGGTAAAAGAACTTTACCTGCCCTTTAATTAATATATTGTTTATGAAGAAACTATGATTTTCATGCCACTGCACTTGACCAAAGAGGAAAGAAATTTAGCAGCCAGAGAACCTGATATTGGCACAGTCAACATCTTTTATAATTCTCATTCTTTGATTACTTTTACCACAACATGGACAATAAAAAAGTGTAAGATGTTTCCTTTTTATCTATTAGTATTTGTCTACATCCTGTATACTTGGACAAAAGGAGAAAATTACAAATTTTACATAGCAATAAGCCACCNTATATATATATTATGCAATCTCGCTTGCCAACTTCATTAATTGAATACTGTTCATCAACAATTGAAAATTTGAATAATTGTTTCCTAAAATAGATCATGCATTTAGATGGTTAAGCTAAAGATACGGATAGCTAAGCAATGATTTCTTACAGGTCATCCTACAACTCATTCTAGCTGCCACTAAAATCAAACATTTTTCAAAAAAAGAAGCCCGTGAGCTGCCTTCAACATCAATTTGAATTTAAAATTATGCAATGAATAGTGTTTGAACCATTTTATTTATTTTTATATGTTTATAACAGTGATATCCAGACCTGGATACTTGCTACCTCCTGCCAACATAAGTACCAAATAACCACCAAAGTTTAAGCAAATGGAAGAGATCCTAGCATTGTTTTTTCCTGGGGGTCTCAATTGAGATTTAAGAGCCATACATGAAACTATGAGAAAGAGTAATTGAGTGAAGTCGTAGGTCCACAATGAGGGGGACAAAGAACCAATCTGGATATATGATCACCCTTCGTCGAAAAATTATATTGTATATATATGTAAAATATTAGGTTTTAGAGGTATATAACATATATTGAACATCCTTTGTTAGAGATTTTTTTTCTCTTCTTTCAAATTTGAACACCCTTGGAAAAATTCCTGGCTTTGCCACTATTAGATAGAATGCATGCGCTGCAAGTTTAGCTAGCGAGATAGGAGTACAATTGAGCTGAGATTAGATGGAATCAAGGTAGTTAAATATAAACGATTTAGTGGCCGTTTGGACATAAAAAATTGTAAAATTCAAAAAAACAAAGAAGCAAAAAAAAAAAAAAAATCAAGTGAAAATGATATTTCAAAATTAGGGTTATGTTTGGACATAAATACAATTTTGGGTTATTTTTGAAGTTTTTATGAGTGATCTGAGTGAAAATTTTGAAAAACAGCTTTTTGGGGTTTTTCAATTTTCAAAAAATTCCAAAATTTATCTTCAAGCGAAAATTGGAAATTTCATGGCCAAAATACTTATTTTGAAACAAGTGATAATTTTTCGAAAAAAAAGAAAAAAAATTCTTATGTCCAAACGGGCTCTTAGATATCTAGGTTCAATATTTCAGGAGAACAAAATAATATATGAAAATTTTACACATAAGACAAGTAGGATGGTTGAAATATAGGAGTGTTATGTGATAGGAAAATACTTGCCAGGTAAAAAGAAAGTTATGTACAACGATTCTAAGGCCAATAATTTTGTTGAGGGTGAATGTTGGGCCTCTCGAACCCAACATAACTACAAGATAAATGTGGTAGAGATGCGAATATTAAGATGGATGCGTAATCTTCCAAGATACTGTAACATAAAAAATGATTACTTATGTCAAAAGGTGAAAGTAGCAGACATATAAGATAAATAAGAGAGTGCCACTTGAGATGGTTTGGTTATGCATCACATAGGCCTCCAGCTCAGGGTTCTTAGATGTGAAAATGTGATGATTAACGGTGCTAAAAAGGAAGAAGTAAACCTAAAATTACATGAAAAGAAGTTATCTCAAAAGGTACAGAATATCTTGAAATCCAGTGAGAACTAACAAAAAAAATAGAAAACGATGGAAACTGAAAACTCGTATAGGTGATACCAAATAGAAAATCAACGCTTGCTAGAACCCTCATAAATTATTGGCGATATAACTGCTAGCGCATATTATAGGACCCTTACTTTTAAATAATTTGTAAGTACGGATTACTAAAATATTGTGGATAAAAATAGAGAATTTATGATATGATGATTTACATAGTCGACCCGACCTAACTTGGAATTGGGACATAGTAATAGTTGTTGTGCTGTTCTCTCTCTTAGGATTGGAACCTTGATCACAAAAAGTTTTCACCCACTTCAGTAACTATTAGTCCACACTCTTGTGTGCAACAACAAGAATTTACATTTCAAGCATTTGAAGGCCTTTCCTTGTTGAAAACAAAAGCTATTTCTTAGACCTGTCTAATCTTTGAAGGTATCCCTATTCTACTCTCCTCCATGAAAAAGTTCTCCAAAGGTTTCTTCAGATTAAAGAAAAATCATTCTCGTCTAGGTTAGAAGAAGTCGTTGGAGAATAATAAGTCAACCAGACACCAAAACTAGAAATCATGAAGAAATTCAAGTTAATGAAGAACCCTGTTTCAAGAAACAGCATAAGAAATCTCAACAGAAATTTATACCAAGTAATACTAATAGTTTGCTCCCAGAGTGGTGCCATCTTTCATTTCTAAATGGTTGGACTTAACTTGAAGTTCCTTATACCGACACAGCAAATCACAAGAACTGAGTTTAACACAAAGAAAGAAAATCTAATCCTGCAAAATTTGGCGTACTTTCAAAGATTCATTTATAAGTATAGTATCTCATTTTATAGTGATCAATTCATCCCCATGTATACTTTTATCTTCAAAATTCATGGTGGACATCTGTACATCGATTTTCTTAGACATTTGAACTTTCCAGCTGTGACTCTCAGATCTTTCATCATCTTCCTCTTCCATGCTATCTCCCAGAGTCATGGAAGTACCTCGAGAGCTACCCCCTAACTGAAGGGGACAATGAGGAGAACCAGACTGAGAACTGCTATGCTTTGAGGATTCACCATATTGGTCTTGAGGCAACCATATGTTCCCCAATACAACAGATTCACTCGTTGATGGGGTCTGTGTATCGGAAAGTTTTCGTATATGAAGTCGATACTTCTGCAATCAATTGAAAAGTTTGCTAAAATTCATGTCTAGAATCACACAGAACAAAAATATATATATGAAATAGGTATTAGCTCAAAACTCACTTGCAAATGACTCTTCACTTCATCATTGGTTAAGCCATCCACTTGCATAAGCTCTCTAATCTGCTAAGGAGTTGCAGCTGCAGAGGAGACAGAAGACAATTTTCCAATATGAGCTAGAGTTGAAATTCAAAATAGAATTCGTCAAACTTGCAAAAGCCTTAATCCTAGTATAGGCCTAACATTGTTGCATTCGTTCATAAAGTATTTTCAAACTCAATTGAATTTATCATGCAATTGAACAAAAGGCCAAAGCACAAACCTTGTGAACCCCCAAGTTGCTTGAGTGCGTCAATAAATCGCCTATGTAACTCAGGTGACCAGCATCTCCTTTGCTTTCTAGCAGTCTGCTGCTGCTGCTGAAGCTGTGATGTTATGTGTATATTTGACCGATAACTTACTATAATAGATGAAGTGACACTGTTATCACGGGGTTTTGAAGACAAGCCATTGATCATTGAATCCTCGAGATTTTTTATTCCAGGAGTAGGAAGTGTCAATCCTGGTAGATCATCTTTATCTTCTTTCCGATCCACTTTCACGGGAAATCCAGAATACCCATTGAAAGGGGAAAATGCCTTTCCCATATTCCTGGATTTACAAGATTGAAATGGATCATATGATCCTGAGTTATCTCCTCCTTGGGGGGGTATCTATTAATTAAGAAAAGATAAAACATTAATCAGTAACAATTAATAGGAGAAAATGTGAATTATGTTAAAAACCAATCTAGTCGTGTTTTTACCTTCTTTGGCTCGGATTTAGAACTTTTTTTACTGTTATGAATATCAGTATTTGGGTTTTGAGGATCACTGTCCCAGAGCTGCACAGAGCTCATCCAACTCATTTTTTCTCTACTATCATTATCTTTGTTCATTTCAACTTTATCATCTTTAAGGGAAATCTTCTTCAATGGTATGGATTCTTCAAATACAGGTTTGACAATTGGTTTCTTATACTGTGTAGATTCTTCTCTCAAAGCCATAATCGCTGCAACAACACCCATCAGCAGGAAAGTTAACACCCATATATATGTTGCCAATCAAAAGAACTACAAACTATACCAACTAAAAGCAGTTACATGAACTATCTCCATAGCTCTAATTTCTTACTATATTTGCTTTCTTAAAGACAAAACAAAGAATCAAAAGAAACTACCAAAAAAAAAAATCAATCAATCAACTATCCCTTAATCCCAAACTCCTCCTATGTGAGCTTCTCGGCCTATAACAAGTATGACTTCACCCAAGCAAACTTGGAAATCAATGATATAACCAATGCCAGAAAGTAGCAGAAGCTGAGAAAATTCAATGATTCTTCAACAGAAGTCGATTCCATTCAGCCAAGGGATACGTAAAGGGTAATAAATACAGCACATACACACACACACACACACAAATATATATATATATATATATATATATATATATATATATATACACACACACACAGAGATAAATCAATCAATCCACTATGACTCAATCTCAAATTAGATGGAGTCTATTATAGGAATTTCGGATCAGATTTACTTACTTTTACACTGGTCATCTAGCTACAGTAACCCTCTTCCTTCATCTAAACTTGGAACTATATTTACACAAACAAAATTATCACAGGTAGAGTTGTATACGAAGAAAAATATCAAAATAAATTTTTTTACAGATTCCCTAGAGAAGCTTGAGGTGATTGACAACATAGAAAAGGGTGAATTACCATCACTATCACTATCACAGATAAACAGACCAATACCATCGGGTCGCCCATGTGGACTAACCTGAACCGACCCAATAAGAATAGATGATGTTGAGAAGTTACTAAAGAGTTACCACATACACTATAACTTCTACTCCTATATAAAGAAGGTGTGTGGTATGAAACATTCTCTTATATATAACCATTGGTTTCTCTTATAGAGAAGAAATTTCTCTAATTCAACACACGTATGGAGAGGAAGGACGTTTAGTTTAAGAGCAAAAACTCCGTTTCAAAGAGAAGCAAACTAGACCTTGGAGTAACTTTGTTGATACAGATCTTCTATGAATCTACTGCGTTAACGAGTACTCAAATCTAGTACCCTACTCTAAATCAATTTTCTTCAATATACTCGAAAGTATTATAACAGTTAAACTATATCTAACACTGCTCGTTAACGCTCCTTGTTTACCCAAGTTTGGAACTATGAATACAGATAGATAAATTGAGAGAGAACCCCACCAAGCTCAGAATAAGTAACACAAAAGGGGGAAAATTACCATCATTAACAAGAAGCAAACAAAGGGGGAGCTCGCGTTTGAAAGAATCAATTTTCTTCATTTCATCTTCAAGTCTTTTCACGTAATCTTCAATCTTCAACGTTTTCTCGTACACGCTATTATCCATCGTCGAAACTTCTTGAAGAAATTCAATAATCGTGTGGGGAATGTAAGTTTTGGGTCTACAATCCAAACTCAGTTCTGGTGGAATTAAACCCATTTTTTTCTTCTGATCTTTTTTTCACTCTCTCAGATTTGATCTTAATAGTTATAGTAATTCTATTTTCAATTGTTCGATCGACCAAAAAAATATGGAACCCCAATTCGCGTAATATAAATAAGAGAAAAACAAGACACACACACTCTCTCTCTCGAAATATGTCTGTATGTATATAAATATATAGTGAGAGAATGGAGAAAGAATTAAGGACAGAAAGAATGAAGAAAGACCCATATTTGTTAAAAATAGAATATTACCAAAACAACAAAAAGTCAATTTCGTGTCGTCGCATATTTATCTATTTGCTTTTTTTCTTAGATTCCGATTCAACCAATAAATCTACTTTTAATTGTACCAAATTACCCCCTTTACTTCTATACGCTCTTCTTCGCAAGAGAAATACGACTTTAAAGCTTGAGGATCAAGATATCCCAATTTTATCTTGACATTGATTAAGTAATATACTTAAATTAAAATTTCATAATCTATTCACCTTTTATACTCTTTAAAAATTAATTTAAACTAGATAAAATAGTTATTTATATTATTTTTCTAATATTTGGGACTTAAAAATTAATTATATTTTGTGTATAAAATCCTTGCTTATTTGAACTAGATATAAAATCCTAATATTTAGGACTTCAAAATTAATTATACTTGTAGGCATATAATTTTACTCCTTCCGTTTCAATTTATGTGAACATGTTTGACTGGACACGGAGTGTAAGAAAAAAATGAATTTTTTTGGAATTTATGGTCCTAAACAAGTCAAAAGGGGGCCAGAGTATTTATGTGGTTATAAAAGCTTCTCATTAAAGGTAGAATTGTAAGTTTACACTAAATTGTTACCAAATTTAGAAAGGGGTCATTCTTTATGGAACGGACCAAAAAAGAAATAGGTTCACATAAACTGGAACAGAGGGTGTATTAGATTTAAATCCATAAAATTATTTAGACTATTTTTTTTTAAATTCAAGTTATATTAGTTCAAATAAATTTATTGGTCTAGTATAATTGGATTATAAGTCCAATATATATGGATTAAATAAATAAGATTTAATCCACTGGCTAGCCCATTTAATTGGGTTAAACTAATGAGCCCACTTCATTAGGCACAATATGTCATATTCCTAGAGGCCCAGTTTGGTGCCACGTGTCAAATGGCGTGGCATGCCAAGTCAAACAAAAGAGACAATAGGATCTTGCCACTTATTAAAATGACAAGGCATGCCAAGTCAAATGAAAGGGCCAATGAAACCGCGCCACATGTGCATGTGACATGTTCTGGCCAATTAAATGCAGTCTTGTCACACTTCAATTTGATTGGTCAAAAAGAGTTTGTTCTTTTCATAACTCTTCCTATAAATAGGCGTCTTCATAACCCAGAAAAGACACCAGAAGTTATAACAAGAAGCAAGAAAGGGCTCGTGGAACAAACACTGCAAATTTATCCACAAATTTCAAGCTTCAAGTAATCAAGTTCAAGTTCAAGCTCAAGAACGAAGAACAAATCAATATTCAGGGAGTACAAATTCAAATCAAAGTTCGTGCTAGTTGAATTCACGATTATCGTTCGTGACAAAAAATATAAATTCAAGATCAAGCTCAAAGGAACTTGAATTTATTTACATTAAAAAGAAAAATTAGGGGATTCATAGAGATTGTACACGCATATTACTTGAAATCAAATACGACAATTGTAGCAATATTTTTCGGTCTTGATTTTATTTTTTCAACGCAATTTATTGTCTACAAATTATGGCATGGCCAGTGGGACAATCTCTACCTCTCATCTCAATTTATCAATCACCAAAGTCCAAGAATGTCGAAATAGCTTCAAATAAAATCAACTTTAGATTAACATCCACCATGTTCTATGCTGAATGGGAAAGAATCCTCAATGTTACCTTTGGAAGCTTCGGACCAGCTATAGGAGCAAAGCAAGCTCTTTAGGACAACAAGCAGTTCAAGTGTCATCCGCATCAACCATTATTTTCGAATATTCATCCTCAAAAAGAGCAAGATCTTCCACAAACACAACTAATGGAGGAAGCGATGTTGCTGAAAAGATAAAGAAAACTCTTGCTCTGCTTGACCTCTCTAGATCCAAGAATTCTGCCGTGAAGGAAGATGATGATGCTTCAAGTGATGGATCCTCCCCACTTATGCCGCATAGCATGATCCATTCGAGAATCAATCTGTGTGACAATCCATGTTATTCCCCATTATCTACAACAATCATGCAATCCATGGTGACAAATATTTCATATGTGGAAGAGTAGGTGGAAAACTTGATAGAAGCAATCGCTAGCTTGACCAAGGGCATACAAAATCAAGATGCTAGAATTAACAAGCTAACAGACAGGGTAGGAATCTTGATGGAAGAAGAATCCATCCATGCACCTGGAAAACTCCCAGAAGTTCAAGAGATTGATCCTCTCCCACGACAAGTTGCATCCACTAAGGAAATTCCAGTCTCTTCGGAAGGGATGATTCCAATCAATCAACCAAAGGAGTTCATTGAATGGGCTATTAAAAACAAATATGAAGTTGCTTCCAAGTCCTCCTTTACCTACGCAAATTCGTACACTTCAAGGATCGATATGTTAAAGATGGCTGCTGGCTAACAACCTCCAAAATTTTAACAGTTTGATGGCAAAGGCAATCCAAAGCAACATGTGGCGCACTTCGTTGAGACATGCAAAAATGCTGGGACTTATGGAAATTACCTCGTCAAGCAGTTTGTCTGATCATTAAAAGGAAATGCTTTTGACTGGTACACAGACCTCGAGGCTAGATCTATTGATAGTTGGGATCAACTAGAGCAAGAGTTCCTCAATTGCTTTTATAGTATGAGATGCACTGTGAGTATGATAGAACTTACAAATACTCATCAATGAAAGGGTGAACTAGTTATCGACTTTATCAATCTTGGAGGAATGAAAACCTTAATTGCAAAGAGAGGCTTAGTGAAGCTTCTGGCATAGAAATGTGTATCCAAGGTATGCATTGGGGACTGCGCTATATATTACAAGGTATCAAGCCTAGAACATTTGAAGAACTTGCGACTCGTGCCCATGACATGGAGTTAAGCATGGCCTCCACAGGAAATGAAATGCTGCCTATATATGAGCCTCGCAAAGGGAACAACACGCAAGAAGTCAGGAAATAGAGCAAGTTTGCACCCAAGTCTGAAAACAAAGAAGGTATGAATCTCAATACATCACCATTGAAGTTCACAACGAAGGTGAGAAAGAAGCAAAGTATGAAATCCACTTCTTTTCAAGATAAACCAAGTGGGAAGTTGACTCTAAAAGAAATGCAAGAGAAGGAGTACCCATAACTGGATTCTGATGTGCCAGCAATTTTTGAAGAACTCCTCGAGTTAAATCTCATTGAGCTTCCGGAGATGAAGCTGCCAAATGAAACTCGTAAAATAAATGACCCAAATTACTGCATATACCATCGACTTGTGAGCCACCCTCTAGAGAAGTGCTTTGTCTTCAAGGACAAAATTATGGACATGGATCATGAAAAAAAGATCGTGTTTTAAGATGAGAAAGCAAGCGTAAACCAAGTCTCTATCACCTTTGGCTCATTCCATCCAGATCAATTATGTCATTTTAAAGAAAGTAAAGATGAAGAATTATTGGAGAACAACAAAGTTAAAGTCGATCAACCTGATGATGATGAATGTTGGACATTGGTGACTCGTCGTAGACGCCACAAAAGGAGCCCACGAAAAGAATCAATAGAACAACTAACAAGGGAAATGATGGTAAAAAGACCAAGGAAACAAAATCCGGTTAGGCGTTTGAAAAAAGAAAAATTGGAGGTGCACCACCCTCAAAAGCCATGACTTCCAGTGACCTTGGAGGATTTCTTGTCGTGTTGGTTCCGCATGAAGATTTCCCCTGATAGTATTGGGCCTCTTATTGCAATGCTGTTAAAGAGGAAGAAAAGAGTGATGACCTACCATTGGCACCATCTTCAGAAAATCTCATTGAGTATTTTCCTCAAGAAATTAATGCGTATGAGGAAAACGTTACATTCACAAATGACGATCTTCTACTAGGTGACACTCATCATAACCAGCCATTATACCTGGTTGGCTATATGCGTGATGAAAGGGTAAATCGAATTTTGGTTGATGGAGGATCCTTAGTGAACATCTTGCCAATTCGCACTATGAAAGAACTTGGTATTCCCATGAATGAACTATCGGAAAGTCGTGTGATGATCCAAGGATTCAACTACGGCGACCAAAGAGTCATAGGTGCGATCAGGTTGGGAGTCACCATTGAAGATATGCAATCAAGTGCATGGCTACATGTGATCGATGCAAAGACTTCATACAACGTCTTGCTTGGAAGGCCTTGGATACATGAGAATAAAGTGGTTCCATCTACCTACCATCAATGTTTGAAATACTATGAGTGTGAAGTCGAGAAGAAGATAGTTGCCGATGATAAGCCATTCACCGAGGCTGAGTCACACTTCGTCGATGAAAAGTTCTACTTGAAGAACCGTATTATGAAGGAGCTAAAAGCTGAAGATGTCATGAATGACAAGAATGATGAGTCCACAACTAAAAGAGTTGAGGTGACTGCTAGTAAAGCAAAAGCTGTAACAAAAGAGATGCAACCTAAGTCGAATAAATCTTATAGATGGGATATTGCGTCTTATGGCAAGAAAGTAACTCCTGCACTCCAATATGTCCCTAAAAGGAAAAAAGATCAAGGTGAATAATGTAATCTCCCAACTAACATGCTAAAGGAGTTAACTCTTCCTGTAAAATGAATCGAGGTAGTAAAGTTGTCCTCAAAGCTACTTGCAAGGTTTGTGGCCCAAAATCGTTTGCAGAATGTGGCATTCCTACAAAGCGAATAGATGAAGGTTTTGATCCTAACACTTACAGGTTATATGCAAAAGCTGGATACAATCCCAATGAGCCATCAATGTTAGGGAAGCGCCAATCAGAAGTTGTGACGAGGAAACCACGTGATGGTTTGGTATACAAGCAACCGTCACTAGTGTGCATCTATATAAGAAGGGTGAGCAACAATTATATTATTGTAGAAGATGAATCTGCTGCTTCTAACAAGATTTCTCTCTTTGATCGACTTGGAAAATCAATTGTGAGGACTTCCCTATTTGAGAGATTAGGTCCATTAAAGAAGGGGAACAA